CAGTCACGAACACCAACGTTCTCAATCTCAAAGCGCTCTGATCCAGGAACATTGACATAAGTAAATTTTTGGGATCTGGTTTTGGAGTACTGTCGCAATCCCCGGGACGGGATCAGCCTTACGGGCACAGAAATGGAACCCCGCCACCTCACACCCCGGAATCGACTGAACCTCATCAATGCCGATTGTTGAAGTTCGCAACCCCAAACGCCCAAGCGGAAGACATGACGACTATAAATCGGCAAAACTCCACACACGACCATCCAGTCGATGTTCCCATGAAATTAGCAAATCCGAGATCATGGCCATGGTAACGAACGCCGTTCATACCTAGTCCGACGCTCTACCTCCGCTCTCCGCAAACATGCCAGATACTCTCAAGGCTCCTCAACCTTGACTTTGCAACCGCCGACAAACCAAACTCTTTCCTTCAACTTGCTCCCAACAATGCCAGTGGCGTACAACGATAGACGCCCTGCTGCATCAAACCCCCAGCCCAGCTCCCCATGCCTTACGGAATGAAGTTCGACAAATTCGGGATTCTCTAGGTCGCTTTGAGTCTTAAGCTCCACGAAGGTTCTCTTCTCCAACGGCCAGCCCTTGCGATTGGCAAAGATCTCTAATAGTTTGATATTGGCCATGCTGAGGTCGAGGATGTTAGACGCCAGTTCCGTGGTTTTGAAGGTGAAGGACTCGGAGCGAATGCGCTCGCCTTCTATAATACTGTAGGTGTCGCGATATGTGGGTATAATGCCGGCTTGGAGAGCGAACATTCGTGCATAACATGCAGCTTGATAAGCCTTCTGGAGTTTCTCCCGCAGCGCGCTGGGGAACTTGTGTAGTTTGGGGTTCACAGTGACCGAGATGTGATACAATGCGTCTTCTTCCTTCTGAGCCGGAGTTCTGACGACCGCTACGAAAGGCTTCTTTTCGGGCCTTGCTTCGTACTCTTCGAGGTCAATGACGTCTCCTTTCCGCTTCGGAGTGGTCTTGGGAGCTGGAGTTGCCCTTGGTGTAGGTGGGGGTTTGGAAGCTGGTATATCGTTAGTTTGGAAGAGCACATTGATATCATCCAAATCTCTGGCTCACTCTGCATCTCGTTGATCACGTAGGCTGTATGACAGTATTGATGTCTTTTGGACGGGAGGAGGCTTGGTGAGAAGAAAATAAGCCTTCAGATGGTCCAGATGAGTAGAAGAGATGAGGAAGAAGAAAGCTTATGGAAGGTGAGAGCGATCAACAGTTAAAGAAAGACTCAAGGGTCCAGCTGGTAAGAGACGCGTGTATATTGATATACATATACTGCAGTCTCGCGGTAAAGGTAGTCTACAACTTCGCTTTCGCCTTGCTGTCCTCCTCCTCTTGCGCCTTCACCTTGAGCATCCGCCTAAGAATCTTCCCGCTTACAGACTTAGGAATCTCATCAACCCATCTCACTCCACCGCGGAGTCTCTTGTGGTGCGCGACCTTGGCGCTCAACCAGTCTATGATCTCCTTCGCGTCTTCATCCGTCTTGCCCAATCCATCTTTGGGCACGACGTAGGCGCGCGGTAGTTCCGAGGCATCGTCTTTCGAGTAGACTCCGATGACTGCTACGTCATTGATCTTCGGGTGCGAGACCAGGATACCCTCTAGTTCAGCAGGTGGCACCTGGAATCCCTTGTACTTGATGAGCTCCTTCACGCGGTCGGTGATGAAGAAGTTTCCGTCCTTGTCTTGGTATCCAACATCGCCTGTCTTGAAGTACCCGTCTGCTGTCTTTGCATGCGCGGTTCCGTCAGGGTTGTTAAGGTAGCCCTTGAAGACGTTCGGGCCCTTGATCCATAGTTCGCCAACCTCACCGACTGCCATCTCCTTTTCCTCTGGAGACATGTACTTTGCTGTTTGGTAGGGAAGAAGCTTGCCCACAGATCCAATGGTCTTGTCCCAGTCCTCCCAGGGTTGGGTGTGCGTTGTTGGGCTGGTTTCCGAAAGGCCGTATCCTTGTTTGACAGGGATCTGCAGTCTGCTGTGAACTGCCTCTACAAGCTCTCTTGTTAAGGGCGCCGCGCCAGAGTTCATCATCCGGATCGAGCTCAAGTCGTACTTCGATACAAGAGGGTGTTTGCTTAAGAGCAGAACGATCGGTGGGACCACATACGCGAATGTGATCTTGAGCTCTTGGATGAACTTGCAGAAGTCCTCTAGGTCAAACTTCGGCATTACAACAAGTTGGAGACCAGAGTACAAGCTTTGATGGATTAGACACGTGAGACCTAGTCGAAGTCAGTTGAGAACCACCTAGATGAGCGCATGCAGGAACTTACCGTAAATATGGAAGAAGGGCAGGAAAGCCAGCAGTTTGTCGCCTTCGCCAGTTGGTCCTCCTGTGGGCTGCAGTTTACCAGCCTCCGCGGCTTTGATCATCATCGTGTTGGCGACAATGTTGCGGTGGGTCAACATCACACCCTTGGGATGACCTGTGGTTCCGCTGGAGTAGACCAAGAATGCAAGGTCCTCCGATGGATTGCTAGCCTTTGTTCTCCGCCACTTGGAAGATCCGGCTGTGTTGATGATACTGGTGAAGTGCTTGACTTGGTACGAAGGATCCTTCTGGTCGCCCATCACGATCACCCGGTCAAGAGGAATGCCAACCTTCTTTGCCGCTTCTTGCGCATTCTTGATGAAAGGTAGCTGTGTCACCAGGCCCTTTGCACCAGAGTCTTTAAGTTGGAATGCAAGTTCATCGACCGTGTAGTTTGGGTTGGCTGGAGACAGGATACCGCCTGCCCAGTGGCAACCCCATGTTATCGCTGGTGTGTCGATGCAGTTGGGTGTGTACACAGCGAGAACATCGCCTTTTTGCCAGTCCCAGAGTGCCTTTAGCCCTTTGCCAAAGTTGATAGCGGCATCTTTGACCTGGGCGTATGTGTAGGACCGCTTAGTGTAGGGATCAAAGTAGATTACTATTTCCCGTTTTAGTGATTACTTATGTTGACAAAACATGAGAACATACCTTTGTCATCTGCGTACGGCCTGTCATTCCTTTCGAAGAGAAACGCCCACTACGATCAAAGACAAACGTCAGTATTAGTTCCACAAAAGGGCTTATCTCCGTATGTCAAACTTACCAGATCAACGTCTGGGATCGGCAGGCTAGGGTACTGGCTTTCGGACGGCATTTTAGTGGTTGAAGATCGGTGTCGTGTTGATGATCAGTACCGAGCCAAGGAATCTTATGGAGGGAGTAGAGTGAAAGTAGAAGGATGCCAGAATGAGAAGACGGACATAGCCCGTCGCGTTCTAACGGACCTGGGAATACCGAGGGCAGACGCAGCGCATTGAGACGGCTGGCCATGATTAGTCGACCGGGGTAAACCCCACAACTCCGGGCAACCATGACCGAGGTTCTTTCCGCTTTTGGCGTTAGCGGCGCGATAGCTGCACATGGCCTCCCGAGGTCAACGGTATTGCGACAACCTCGAACATCGATAGCCTGACCATATAGACCTATTAGTTCTCCAAACACACGAAAGTTCCACACTATTAGGTTATCAAGATGCCGAGTTGGGAAGAAGCTACTGCAGTACAGAAACTGTCCTCCAACACGTACTCATGTACACTACACGATGATTGGAGCATCGGAAGCGGTATTTTAGACCCCAGCAGAGATAACATCATCCGCTTTTACTAACGGCAACAGTTCCTAATGGTGGCTACGTTACAGGATGGTAAGGTTCATCACATTCTGCTTCACACCCTTGACTAACCACATCTCGACTTCTTAGCATACTGGAGGTAGTCAAAACACATTTCAGCACAACTTTGGCGAAGCAGAACCAGCCACACACCATAGCTCTCCACATTGAGTTCCTGAGACGGACCCAAGCCGGGCCCGCAACATACAAAGTCGACGATGTCAAACTTGGTCGCCAAACGTCTATCGTACATGTGACCATGGAGCAAGACGGCCGACAGGAAGTCGTCGCGTACGTCGCAAACTCCAACATGGATGCGGAAAAGGGCTTCACCCAAGATGTCGGATACAAGCTTTCACCGCCCGTCCCGTCAGTCGACCTGACAAAGCTGGAAAATGATGAAGATACAAACTGGAGGCTCCAACCAGAATTGCCGCACGCCAACTTCCGAAAAGCGACGAAGAGGGTGAAGTTTTATTTCCCTCGGGAAGGACGAAGCCTAAAGCATCTCGCTGATGAGTGGATCTGCTTCTCTGATGGGACAAACTTCACGGATTCCTCGGTCGGCTTTGTCGCAGACATGTTCCCGCTGATGGTTGAGTCAATCAAGGGCGAAGGAGAGGGACCCTTTTGGTATCCAACCCTCCTACTGAATCTGGACATCAAGAAAGCGCTGCCGCCGCAGGGGGTCAAGTGGCTGCAGGTTAGGGCAGGTATGAAGAAGGTGGCGAACGGTAGGATGGACTTGGAAGTGTGGGTGCACGATGCTGACGGCGATCTGGTGGCTTTGAGCCATCATGTAGCATTTGTGTTGGATGCTGCTAGGAACACAGCCGCAAGGAAAACGGGCAATGCGAAGATCTAGGCCTTGGATTGTTTCGTACATAATCACCGGCATTTCTATACGTCGCACTTTTCGAAAAAGCCAGCGCGTGTGAACACTGTCTTGCTGAATTCCTCCGCTGCATTACCTCGGTTCATTTTGTTGCGGTGTGACGTTGCTTATTCGTCAATATGATCCCGGCATGTGTAGTTCCACTTCCACAGCTACGCGGAACAGTATGGACTTCATCAGGTACCGAGAGTTGCTGACATCGACACGGCATTGGGCGCTCCTTGGAAAATTGGTTTTGTTATTTCTCGATCATCTGGGGGCCTCATTGCGCTCGACTGGCCGCAACAGTGAGGGTTTCAAAAATCTACAGGATGCTATCGTGCATCGCTATCTGCCAAACGCCAATGATGCCATTCATCAGATGCCCAATGCCCCCTGGCTGTATATTGCCATGCTTTTTTGTGTCTGCTCGATTGGTCCGGAGTCGCTTATTTGCCCTTGGGGTTGTTGTATTGTATCTCGTTGAATTTGCTCGGCCAGACAGGCTATCGCACGTTAGCACAGTCCTTGGGCATCGAAATCAGCGTGCCACATACCTCACTCTGCTGGTCGCTGATGTTCTTCTTGAAGTGCTCCGAGTCTGGGCCCTTGCTCGGGCCGTCGTGCCTTCCTTCGTTTGCGGACGCAGAGCCTACAAGCTTGATGTCAGCAAACTCCGTTCTATGTACTTCCAGGGTTTTAAGTCTGGGGAGCTCATTATACCCGTACCGCGCTGGGTTCCTCCAGCAGGTGTGTGCGTAGGGTGGCCTCCACCAGCTGAGAAGCGATCCTCAATGTTCTGGACGCCCTGTGTCTTGTACGGGTTGGGGAACCAGTATTGGCGCATGAAGAGGTAGTAGCCGAAGCCGACGGCGCCGCCAGCCATGAAAATTTTAGGAACAGAGAGAGGCGACATGATTGCTGTTGGTCCTGCTGTCTCCCTTCAATTGACGAGGTGGGAGTGGGAGGAGGTGAGGGTGGAGGTTTAGAGCGACAGAGATGAAGTAGAAGGTGCAGAATTGGGCGCTAAGGGGTAAAGTTGCAAACACGAACCTGCGCAGCTAAAATCTAGAAGCTAACTTAACCTTAGGTTAGTATCTTTATATAAGTACTAAGGTTAAAAAGCCTATTAAAAATAAGGTTTATAAATATATACCTTTTTTTATAATATATAGCACTAAGGTAGATTTAGAAGTACTATATATAAAGGTAGAGTTATAGTAATAGTATATAAAAAAGAGTAAGTATTAATAAGCTTTTCTTTTTATATATTTAGAGAGAGTAGATACTTTTTAGCTTTCTCTTATTAAGTATAGATACTTACGTAATATATATTATTATATATAGAATTTCTTAAAGCTATAAATAAAATAAAAGTTAGTAGATCTACTAGAAATTATACTATAAACCTTAGAAATACTAAGCATTAAGCTTTAAATAATACTTAATATATTAGTTTTTATTCTCTTTATATATTAACTATATAACTTTTATTATACTATAGCTATTATACTCTCTAAGTATACTAATAGCTATAGTTTTAACTTAACTATAAAAATAACGCTTTAGAAGTAAATATTAAAAGGCTATTATAACTTTAGAAGATATAAAAAAAGGTTTATAAACTTACACTATACTAGGTATATAACTACTCTAGTCTTTATAGTATAGTTACTATATATATACCTTTATCTAGTATAGTATAAACTATAGATATTAATACTATTCTCTTAGTATTTTTAAGAGCTACTATAAGAAAGTATAAAGAACTTTATATATATAAAAGAGAGTAAACTCTACTATAAAGCTTTTAAGGTATTAAAGCGTAATACTACTAATATTTAAAGTAGTAGAGATTAGAACTACTAAGAAATAGGTGTAAAGTGTCTAAAATTATAATAGCTATTTAGTGTAGGCTAAGAAGAGTATATATACTAGATAGTAACTATAGTATAAAATCTACTAAAGTATTATAGTAATAAAGTAGAAAATAAAAAAGTTATAAGAGCTATATATTTCTATATATTCTATCTAGAATAATTAGAAGAAACTAGATTTTAAGAAGAAATAGGCTATATATAAGGCTACTATAGATTAGCTATAGTAGTACTTTAAATCTTTATATATTTAGTTAGAGAATATTAAATTTTATATAGATAAAGTTATAAATATTTAAGCGTAGATACTAGAAGAACTAAGAGCTTAGAATAGAGAGCTAGATAGATATTAGAAAGAAAGAAAAAAAAAGCTAAGTATGCTAGAAAGATAAAATAGAAAAGAAGTAGTAGTAGAAGAAAAAGAATAAGAGAATAGAGCTCTACTTATATAACTTTATTCTTTATATTATATTTAGCTTAGTAAATATAAAGAGTTACTTAGAAGAAATAAGATTTTAATTAAAAGATTTAGAAATATATATTCTTACTCTTACTTTTAGAGTTTAGCTTAGTCTATCTAGCGTTATACTTAGTACGTAGAGTAGCTACCTAAATATAGCTCTTAGGCTCTTCTAGTATACACTTCTACTACTATAGCTTATTACGCTTCTTTTAGCTCTTTAAAGGCGTAATCTTAGTAAAGATAAAAGTTTAGAGCTTAATATTCTTATTACTATATTTATAGTCTAATTAATATTTGCTATATAGAATATAGAATAAAACTTATTCTCTATATATATATCTTAACTATTATTTTTCTTTCTAAAGTTACTAGTATAAGACTAAGATTATCTAAGAGATATTAAGCGCGTTTTAATAGCTATTTATAATAATATTCTTAGTCTTAATAAGATATTTACTCTAAATAGCTATTTTTTATATAGACTTTTTCTTTCTATAACTTAAGAGATACGTAAAATAGTAGTAGAGTAAGAAGTATTATAATTATTATACTTATAGGCATAAAGCCTTCTACTAGATATAAAGCTAAGTCTAAAAAATAAAGTAGTTAGTATAAAGTAAGAAAGAGGCTAGAGAAGAGATAGTAAAGCTTATAAAGTATAAGGTTTTAAAATAAAAGGTAGTAAGTAGGTAGTAGAATATAATATATAAAATAAAAATTAAAAGCTAACTTTACGCTACCTAAAGTAGCTACTAAAAAAGTAAAAAAGAAAGCTTATAAATTTAGAAGTTATAGCTAAGAGTAAAGATATTATACTAGACTTTAATATAAAGAAGAAGAATATAATTAAAATTAATAAGCTTTAAAATAAAAGACTAAAGAAAAAGCTAAAAAAAACTTATAAATTCTAGCTAGCCTACTAGTTACTATAAAGTAGTAGTGCTTTAGAACTAGGTAGAATTCTTATAGTAAGTAGAGAAGTAAATAACTAGTTAGTATATAGTACTATAGAATAGAATCTTATAATAAATAAAACTATAATAGTAGAATCTAGATATTATAAGAGTAGTTAAAGTAGTAGATTAGATAAACTTTAAATATCTAGTATAGACTATATTTATATACTATATAACTACTTTTATATTTACTTACACTTCTTTTATACTTACTATATATAACTAGAATTTAGTTCTAGTATTATATATTAGCTATAGACGTGTTATTATAATAATATAGACTTATAAAGATAGATAGTAGTGTACTCTTCTTTATTATTAAAAGTAATAAGTCTTATTTTCTATTATCTATAGTAATTAAATAGCTATACCTATTAATAATAAGAAAACGCTCTAGAAATGCTATATAATGTAACCTACTGTATTAAAATTAAAGTGCCTAAATATTATCTTCTAGAATTAGAGAAGTAGTAGTTTATATTTCTTAAAGGTTTTAGAACTAATATACTCTACCTAGCTACCTACTTTTTTAAGCTCTACCTATTTATTCTTTATATTCTATAAGAATTAACGTTAGAAAGACTAGAAAAAATAAGTATTAGTTAGTGTATACTATAAAAAACTCTTTCTTTATATACTATATCTTTAATATAGATACCTTATAGAGGTAGCTATATAAAAGAAGCTTTTTATCTTTAGTACTATTAGAGCTATTATTACCTATAGTAAGGCGCTATAGTACTAAGAGTTAGTAGCTAGAATATTAAAGATAATAAGATATAGCTTATAAACTATAATATCTTATAGCTATAATAGTAAGAGTAGGTATTACTATTACTCTAAAAGTAAGACCTAGTTAATATAAGTAGGTATTATAGAAGCTATAGGTTCTTAGAATTACTAAAGCTTTTCTTCTATTATCTTAGAGTTCTTAGGTCTTTTTCTCTAATATAATTACTAGTAGGTACGTCTTATAGTAGCTTCTAGAGCTAGTAAAGCTACTCTTAGGTAGCTAACTATTCTACTTTTTATACTCTTTAATTTCTAAAGCTTTTACTATAGTTATATAAGTTTACTAGGTTAATAAAGTAGAAGCCTATTATATACTAACTAGTGCTACCTAGTCTTTATTTAGTATAGCACTATTACCTCTATCTCTATTAATAGCTCTATTAAGTGTAGATAGTAAGAGTAAGTATAATAAAGAGTAATAGAGGCTCTAAGGTTATTACTACTAGACTCTATTATTTCTGCATAGCTTATATAGTGTAGAATTAATAGAAACCTTATATAGTAGCTTAGAGTTTATAGAAGCTAGCTTATTATCTAGAATATTATAGATATTCTAGGTTCTATTAGTAGTAACCTTAAAAATAGTAAGCTTATTCTATTACTTCTAGAACTTTCTACTAACTTCTTACGCGCGTAGTTTAGGTAGCTTTCTATTCTTCTTTAATTAGAGAGCTATTACTAGTAATAAAATATATTAAAGAGAAAAGTAAAAGGCTATATAAAGAAGAGTAGAGATTATAATAGATGTAGAGTATTATATTTATATTTACAACGCGTTAGTTATAATATAAAGCGCGTAGAGAATTTTAGAGTTATAAGATAGAAAGATATAGTAGAACTATATAGTTTATAGTAATAGGCCTAGAGAGCGCTAATCTATATATAACGTAATATTACTAGACCTAAAGAGAAATTTATTAGTATTTATAAGAATTTTATTATAGAACCTATAATCTAATAACTACGCTAGAGCTTATATCTACAGCTCTTTCTATATACATAATATAGGCTATTTTTATTAGAGAAGAGATAGAGGTAGTCTACTTAGCTATACGCCTACTTGTTAAAAACGCTAATTATATACTAAATAATTATTTCTATATTAAATTTCTTACTCTAACCTCTCTATTAAATAAGTATAATAATATTCTATATCTTATTTATTATATACTACTATACAGCCTCTTATTAAAAGAAGTAGCTACTATATAGCTAAACCTCTTTACTAATATTATATAAGTTATAGTAGAAGTTTTAGAGAAAGATTATATAGCTCTATAGAGTATTAGCGTATAAAAGCTTAGTATTTCTAGTAAATAGTACTAGCTTCTTCTATTATCTATCTATAAGCTTTAGTTAGTTAGATATAGTAAATAGTATAAATAGGTATTCTCTCTTAATTCTAGAGGTAGTAAGCTACTCTACTAATAGAGTAGGCACATTAACCTATAGCTTTTTCTAGTTAAAATATAAAATAAAGAGCTTAACGTCTATATACCTCTATAAGTATTATATAGAAACCTTAGTATTTATAAAAACTTACCTCTAGCTTATATAGTTTTATAGAAGCTTAGTGTAAGTTTAATCTAACCTAATTTATAATTCTACTAGTAGATATATTATACTTAAATATGTAGCACTTTATCTAGGCGTAATAGATAACAAAATATAACTATATACGTAAGCGTTATTATAAGTTACTAGTAGTATCTACTCTAAAGTCTTTCTCTAAATTTATTAAAAGAACTTTAGTTAATTCTAGCTTTATACTCTACGCCTACGTTATATTAGTATAACTACTTAAGCGCCTTCTTAGTAATAGCCTTCT